TAGGGTGGATCACGCAAAATCCTCTGATGTGTTTTTAGCCGAATTCCATCATTTCAGAGGATTTTTTTTAAATTTGGTTGATTTTAAAGAACTTTTTCCGTTTTTTGGTTGATGTTTCTTGTATTTTCTAATATCCCTAAGCACCTTCTTTTTTTTTAATCTTTGCAGGTGTACCTTTCATACCCTAAAAGAAATCCTACTTACAAATATAAGTTGTGCGGGTGCACGAAACTCCGCTTGGAGCATTATAGATCTGCTATTGCAAATGGGGATCTTCACGTCCGATCGATCCATATCAGGTAACGGTTTACTTGGCAAAAAAAAGAACAATAAATTAATTTTGAACTTTTTTTAAATTATTTGGACAAAAATTGATTACCAGCAACCCAATTAGTCCACCCCTCCAACGAGACCAATGTGAAGAGGCATTTATTTAAACTATTACTTGCAGCTATTCATTTTAAATCTAGAGTAAATTACGGATCTTCACTAAGGTTTCTGAATTATTAGAGGTTTTCTCCTTTGTCTTCACTTATTACATAATACACTTACATCTATATAATCTGTTTCTATTTGGTCCCTTATACTAACAAACATCTATGATACATCCATAATGTATGTTAACCACGAGATAATTTCTATCTTTTTGCCATTTTCCGCTTGGTTAATTGTTTACCTTCTTCACATGAAGAATGACAACGGAGAACATTAGCAATATTCTACAACAATTTAGTACAACTCAATATGCTAAAAGGATTATGATACAAACTTTGAATCGAACCTAAAATTAAAAATATAAATCAAATCAAAAATTAAAAACAATAAAATGAATACAATAAAGCAAAACCTACAGAAATGGGGTTGAAATCCAAAGACGGGGTTGAAGCCCTTAGGGGCGAATTAGCTGAGGATATTGCATTTCGAGAACTTTGATTACTTTGATATTGCTTTGTTTATGGGTAATCATTTTTTTCTTGAGATGAAGATTAATGGAGACCTACTCTTAATATGGTTTCTTGGATCGAATACAAGGTGGAGATTTGTGAAGATATCCAAAATCCAAGAAATAGGATACCAGCATGAGACCTTAGTCCTTGCTGCCACCATGGATCTGGGCTACTCCCTCCATGCGGCTTTAGCTGGCCCAAGATGTCGTCTCAGCTCCTGTTTTGCTTGTGAAGACTCAAGTAGCTAGCTCTGGTGCCCTTAGGTGTGTGGAAAGATTGATCAAACCCTATCTCTTAGGAAAACAAATAGTCACATCATTCTTGTTCAGATATATGTTGATGCCATCATATTTGAATTCACGAATCCCTCCTTATGTGTTTGATTCTCTGAAGGGTCACCCACAAAGAATACATATGCTTTTATTTACCAAAAAACGGAATTTCGTCATGATTGATTGTTAAATAATTATTCTTGTAGAATAATTAATAGTATATGTTAAAAGTGTAATTATGATTATTACGAAGTATTATGTGTGTGTGTGTATATATATATATATATATATATGTGTATAAATGTTGGTCTCGACCATGGCATTTGTAAATTATACATTTAGCATCTGATAGAACACTAAGAAAGAAATTCTTAATATTTGTCTTGGAGTGAGTATATCTGATAAACATCACCATTGGATATAACTCAAAAATATTGACATCCGAACCTTAGTAACTCATAAATTTGAAGGCTTTGGATGTTGATCACTCATCGGATCCTTAGCTTATATAAAATTGTGAAGATCAATCTTCAATTTGATTATTCTTCATCTCATTTGGAGAATCTGATTGACCAATCATCATCAACGTCATTCTATCTTGAGTTGCAAGTACCCACATTTTATAACAAGTTATTTAGAATCCGATGAAAGCATTTCATAAAATATTCTATAGCTAGAATCCGATGTAGAGCTTATATTTTGGAATAGAAAGAAATAGAATTTTTATTTGTAAAAGTCTTATAACTATATGTATTGATCAAGAACGAAAGGCCTTTAATGGAATCGAAGACCGGTTGAAGTGAGGTCATGATTCCCACGAAGGCGGATTGGTTTATCATCAAGCCAAAAAGAAGATCAATATAAGATAAAGTCAAATGGTAGTTTGATGAATACTACTACTGACAAGCCGGATTTTGGAGTTAAAACTTGTCCAATAAGTTTGGCTCACCAACTTTTCTAACACTCATCCTAGTATGGGAGCATGCTCAGCATGTCAACAAAAGTAAGTTCTAAACATTATTTTATTAGTGTCATATCTTTACTATTCCCTCGGCATACAGAGGAAGGGGATAGGATAACAAGTGTTTACATCAACTATAAAGGCTGAAATGAAGAGTGCCAGCATACATAGATCAACAAATCAAATGGAGACACATGTTAAAGTTGGATAGTAACATATAATGCAATGGTGGCTATAAAATGGCACTCTTGTTTTTCATTTCTACTCACCCGTTTTGACATAAAATCTATGTGATAGTTTCATGTGCAAAATCGGCATTAACATATGAAGAACTATCTTAGTCCTTTAGATCTGAAAGAGTACCTTCTTCTCATATTCTTTCAGTGTTAGCAAATTTGTCACCAGTCAAATTGTGTAGGATCACATGTCTTATCTTCCTAGTTTCCGCAATAAATCTGTAAATTTTTGTTTGAATACAAAATATAAAATTAAAAGTTAAAATATGTCGTGTTTGTATTCTAACCCTCCCGGGTAAGACATTACTTTCTAGGACCAACAGCGCCTGCCCAAAAGGGTGGGTGAGTCGGGCGACGGTCTAGGGCATCAAAGCCAAGGGGAATCAACTTAGGCCAATGTTACTACTAATCCATGTCTATCCCCTCTGGAATACTGCTATTTTTAGCACGAAGTTTGTCACGTTTTATAACTAATGGTGGTCAAGAGTTTTGATTGCTCCAAAATCGGCATATGTGATATTCCACAGTCGTAATGAGACCTACGGAATGACATACCTAATACCATTAACTAAAACTAGTGGTAGCTTTTCTTGCCCCTACACCACATACAAGCATCCTAACTTTTTGATTGTTCGACTTCATTTCTAATTCTAAAAATATAACAACGTATGAAAAACAAAGTGATTGAATATATTTCAAATATTCGTTGTTAAATCAAGGAAATTCGGGAAATTTAAGTGGATTTTAACTGTAGCTAACAAAAAAATGTGGGTATTTTACGAGTTGATTTGCAAAATTCATGGTATTTCGGCTTTCTTCATCGGACTAATGTTTATTAATTTTATGACAATATATTTTTCAATCATTTTTGTGTATTTAATCTATCAAAAAGTAGTTGATAAAATACTACAAAATAAAACAAAAAATAAGAAATCTCATCGACTTGTTTGGTTGTAGCAACCAAAAACAGAGTTCAAAAGATATAATAATTACAGATTCCACAAATTCATATCTTGTCCCTTGTGCGGGCCTAATCACACTTGGTCTCAATCTTAACCAGGCCTAACTAAGTTGTAAAATAAGATTTATTCTAACCAAATATCCATGACCATATAGGATGTGGTAGACTCAAGATTTTCGTCGATCGATTACATCCTTATGATGGATCAAATGCCGGCAAAATCCTCTGATGTGTTTTTAGCTGAATTCCATCATTTCAGAGAATTTTTTTAAAATTAGGTTGATTTCAAAGGACTTTTTCGGTTTTTTGGTTGATGTTTCTTGTATTTTCTCATATCCCTAAGCACTTTTTTTAATCTTCGCAGGTGTACCTTTCATACCCTAAAAGACATCCTACTTACAAATATAAATTGAGCGGGTGCATGAAACCCTGCTTGGAGCATTATAGATCTGCCGCTGCAAATGGAAATCTTCATGTCTGATCGGTCCATATCAGGTAACGGTTTACTTGGCAAAAAAAAAAAGAACAATAAATTAATTTTGAACTTTTTTTAAACTATTTGGACAAAAATTGATCACGAGCAACCCAATCGGTTCACTCCTCCAACAAGACCAATGTGAGGAGGCATTTCTTTAACCATTGCTTGTAGCTATTCATTTTAAATCTAGAGTAAATTATGGATCATTAAGGTTTCTGAATTATTAGAAGTTTTCACCTTTGTCTTACTTATTACATAATACACTTACATCTATATAATTTGTCTCTATTTGGTCTCTCACACTAAGAAACATCTCTAATACATCCATAATGTATGTTAGCTACGAGGTAATTTCTATCTTGTTGCCATTTTCCGCCTGGTTAATTGTTCACCTTCTTCACATCAAGAATGATAACACGGAGAACATTAGAATATTTTACAACAATTTAGTACAACTCTATATGCTAAAAGGATTATGATTCAAACTCTGAATCGAACCTAAAATTAAAAACAATTAAATGAATACAATAAAGCAAACCCTAAAGAAATGGGGTTGAAATCCGAAAGAAAAAACCGTTTGAAATGAAAGTGAAACCTAGAAAACAAAACCGTCTAGAATAAGGGTTCACCACCAAGGGCCACCATGAACCCAAACACAATACAATAATTCTAAAGCAAATCAACATACAATCATAAGCATTTAACATAACAAACAACTTTATGCAAATCATTCAAAAAATTTGTGATACTAATCCTAAAATCAGAAATATGATTCAAACCTTAAATCAAAAGTTGAGAGAGACAGAAAAGTAGAAATCTAGTTGTATCAAAAGGTTAATCGAGATCTAGCACGCCACCGAAGTCTGGTGCGTCTGTCGACCAACATGCCTCCGCCCCAAACCCATGGTTAACACCAACAGTGGCACAAGAGGTTGACTACATGGTGTAAAGGGTGATGGCAACAATGGGACGCCGATGTTTTGCCACCATAGATGATTTGACACTCGTGAGTGGATAAAGATCAACGGAAAGAGGGGAGAAAGAGGATGAGGAAAGAGAGTGAGTTATTTTAGGGTTTTATTTTGGTTTTTTATAAATGGAATTCAAAATAACGTAAAAATTGGTAAAAGTGGCCCTTGTACCTTTCGAGGAACCAACTTCAAAACAAATTCTAAAGATAGAAGTTTATTATGTAAACAATGAAGTTAAAAGACAAAATCCATAATGATTCGCAAACCTCAAGAACCAAATCTGTAATTTACTACTAAATCTATTTCACGAACTAGAGGTCTTCTCGAAAACAAGAGAGAAAGTCGACATACATTATACATACTTTACAATAGATTAAAAATGCATTCAAACAGATAAATGTGCCATATAATGAAACGAAGGTCAATTTCTTTCTGATAAATTCTCTTCAAAAGTAGAAACGTATCTAAGAGTTTATAGAAATCGATCACTTAGGTACATGGGTGTGGCTAGCATCTTTCAAAAACCTTGTATAGCTTCTCCAGGGAGGCCACCTACAAGAAACCACACTCAACATCACCACCACCTCTTGTAAATACTAGAATAACATTATCAAATTACTTAGGGTTAAAGTGCTTAGCGGGAAAAGGTCACTACCTTCACCTGCCTAATCAGATAAGATTCTCGATAATTAAAATACTTCCTCCATTCCAAAATAAGTAATCTCCATTCTATTTTAGTTTCTCCAAAAATAAGTGTCTACTTATAATACCCTACTTTTCCTTACCTTTATCTTATATAAATTTAAACTCTTAGGGGCCGTTTACCAAACACTTACCTGGTAAGCGCTTACCGGTAAAATTTAACACTATCACTTACTTACGGTTAAGACTTTAGTCCACCAAAACATCATTGTATGCAACAATTTACCCGGTAAGCGTTTACCATGGTAAGAGTCGCCGCCCTCACTTACCCGGTAAGACTCTCGGTCCTTGTCTCCCTCTTACCGGGTAAGATTCTTGGTCCTTACCATATTCATCCGGTAAGGTAATGTGACTTGGTAAGCACTTACGCGCGGATAAGCGTTTGGTAAACGGCCCCTTAGTTGGACCTTATATTAAACACTTGTACCTTGCTAAAATAGGAATTGTATCTACATAAAAATTTGAAGTTCAAATCATCAACTCAAACAAGGTAAGCTAGAATCATAGTTGATGTTATGATTGTTGAGATTCGCAAGTTATGTCAAAAGTTACTAAAGCCTTGAGGTCTTTAATGGTAGAACCTTAAAAGAATCATGAATTGGCAATGTTTTTATGTTTAGATTGCCATTTGTATTGCATTAAGACTATTGTAGTCAATGCATTGTCGGTACAAAGAAAATGACATCAAATGGTTTAGATTAGAATAACTCATTGCTGTTGAAACAGGGCAGAAAGTTCAGGTTGTTTAAAATGTTTATAAATCGTCCGTTGGTCAGATTGAAGAGTTTTAAGACATCGATGGAAAGCCCCATGTGTCTATTATAACTTTGTAGATTACACTGAGACCGAATTATGGCTCTAAATAGGCTCGAAACAATGAATTTCCAAAGATGGTCTTGTGAAAAAAGGGATTTGCGCACTGTCTTTAGAAAATTAATATAAAATATGTCGTAGCTCTAAATTGGGTGAATCCAACGCGATTTATACCATAGGAAAGACCTACAACTTTCATTTAGACTCAAACACCTGAATTGGCCTCTAAGTATAGGGAAAAGGTTCAACGAGTTGGTACAAGCTGTCCAATACAGCTAAGAAAAGCCATATTATTTTCTTGTACATCACGCCTTAAGACTTGTACGGTATGAAACTCAAATGTCAATCAATCCTAACGCTATTCAAACACCCGTAGAACTATATTTACCGTACAAACAACAATATGTATGGGATTTGGGATGTGAATAAATGTGCCACTCAAATGTGGTAAAGAATTATCGTTTTCATTTGAAGGTAAACCGGGGTAATGTGAACCATCCCTAAGGCATCCATAACTCGTGTCTTGTGCTCTACTATCATCTAAGGTACGGATTTCTACCTCGTTGACACTTGGACATGTGTTTACTTACGCGTGTCTACTCCTTGGAATATGGTACACCATGAATCACTTACCTTGTAGATGGTGTCTAACATATGTTGATACATTTGGATAATTTACGATCTTTGATTTGTTATTTGATTAAAATGAACACCTTTCTGGATTTTGATATGATTATTTGGATTTGGACCCATAACGCTCGTATTATGCTTTTGTAATATGATTTAATAATGTTGATGTATACCATGTTTATGACCCTCTGAGATTTGAACGAATTGGTTTGGCATACATAACCAAGCCTTTAAAAGAACTCTATGATGTCAATATAATTATGGAACATTGATTTTTATAGCGAGGACGCATTCGATGCAGACCTTGTTTTATGATTTCATGTTTTGGTTATTACACTCAACTATTAGGGCATCAAGATCGAGATGCTTTCACGGTGGCTTTCTCATAAGATTAGACCCATAAAGGTCTGACAAGGTACCGGCCATTGGAGAGTGTATGGACTGGTCCTAGACTCCTAGTTACCCAAGAACCGGTTCTGATTATTGTGTGTGCATGCACCTCTAACCCGCTCGACTTAAGCAATCTGATCAACCCTTGAGATTGACATATCTTATGTTCTACGAATTGGGAGGGTAATTATGTGAACCTCCACTTGGTAGACCTTTGTGGTCTTCATTTAATTATTGATTTTTTTTTTATTTTGTATTGATGCTTTTATAATTTCTAGTTCACTTTTGCATTCTTATTTACTTATTACATTATATAATTTGTCTACTAGGAAACTTGCTCAGCCATGTGTTTTGTTGGCAAGGCAGGTCCGTAATATCAAAATGGGAGACGTGGATTGGGAGAAAAGATGGAAGCTATATTTGATCTCTACTGTTGAAGATAGTACCTTTACACTCGACTGTACTAGCTTTTGTAATCTTTTATTATAGACTATCATCTCTTAAACAATGTAAAAATTAACGTTTTGTGGTTAGTATTAGCTCTGTATTATGCTTTGGTGAATTACTATTGAAAGTTTACATTCCCTAAACGGTGACATGATCCCATCCTTGGCGACGCAGGAAAGGGGGTGTTACACTACTTTACCATTCTATCCTTAATTATGATCCAAGAAAATATCGCTCTCGCTCTCTCTCGCTCTCTCTCTCTCTCTCTTATTAAGGGTAAAAGCGTCTTTTATTAGTTAAAAAGTGTAATAATTACACATTCCTAAAACCGTGTGTGGACATTTATCGTGGGACGGAAGGGAGTAGAATAGTGCAAGCGTCTCTTACCTGGTAAGCACTAACGAGGTAAAATTCTCGGTAAAACTATTGGTAAAGATCATCATTCTCTTACCAAGAGGCAATAAGTGTTCAATAAAGATTTCAATATCATTTACACAGTAAAAAGGGAAATTGATACCTGCACAAATGTTCCATTTGTGGCCATTGAAGCCGGGGGCTTGAAAAAGAGCCTCATGGAAGGAAATAGAACATGTTGTATCGACCATTCTCTCTGGGCCCATGCATTCTCGACTTCTGAAAGTAGCTCTTCATCTATATCATCTTCTAAAAATGCAATAAACTAACTTAGCAATTGAACTCTTATATAGGATGGGAGAAATAATAGGATCCGTCCTTACCTCCTGAAACACTTGTTTTCCCTTCTTCAGCACAGCCTCTTTTATAAAATTCCAAACTATCACCTGATGATGGATTTGGCAATAGAGGTGGATGCATAGCATAAAAGTTCCCAAGAGCAGCAGCAATTGTTTGAAAGCAAAGTCTCTCATCATTCCAATTCACCTAAATAACAAAAAACCAAACCACCAATATGTAAAATTTGGATCTAATCTAACTACAATCCACAAATATCACAGAATATTGTCGAGTAACAAAATGCCAAGGGATTTAGAGATTCTGTAAGATTTCCGTTGGTTCAGCATTAAAATTGATATTTACTTTTATAATATTTATTATTATTGGCAATTTCAAAGCTCAAACTTACACCAAGCAACCAGCTACTCACACTCTTTTAAATGTCACTCTATCCTGTTCCTATTACTTTCAGCATTTCATTAAGAGTACAGTAAACGGTACGAGTCATGCGTACAGAATGATGTTACTGTCCAACTTTTGTTGTTCCTTTCTGCCAATTGTTACGATCTGTGAAGTGTAGAAAGCCTCAGCTCGCCATCTTAATCTTTTGTCTCTGTCAAATGGACATTCCAGTAACGGAAGTGCCTCCATTGACCGCGACTGAAGTGGAGAATCTTGTATTCTAGGATGACAAATTGAAAGCCTCGTTGCTCAACATTCAAACCTTGGTTTTAAAAAGCGCGATGTGGTCCGATGCATTAAGGGTCCCGGAAGCCGATGCGTGATGCTGATGCGCTCGCATCACGCACGTGATGCGCCCGGTATTCAAAAAATATTTATAAATTAATTCTACATATCAATTTCTACCTTAAAAATACTTACTTATCAAAATACTTCATTTATAACATAAAGTAGTTAAAAAAAGTGGCATTAGAATCTTAAAAAGTTCGTGGATCAGAATAACAGAAGTACATAACACACAAACTACTACCATGAAGAACACAATAACACAAGTAAATGTCTAATAGTCCTAATCCCTAAACTAAATGACCAACCAAGTGACCAACTAATACTCCCCAAGATCAGCATCATCAAACCCCAACACGGTATGACTATCGACTACTGCTGCTGCTGGTGGTATGACATATGACTATCGACTACTGCTGCTGCTGCTGGACCGCCTATCGACTACTGCTGCTGCTGCTGGACCGCCTATCGACTACTGCTGCTGCTGCTGGTATGACTATCGAGTATCGACTACTGCTGCTGCTGGACCGCTGGTATTGAGTATTGACTATCGACTATCGAGTATCGACTACTGCAGTACTGCTGTCGGCTTCTAAGTTCTATCGATTAGGTCGCTTCCCTACTCGCTAACAGTCAGTCCACGTTCTATCGCTAAAAGTCACTCAGGTTCTATTTTACATAACTAAGAAGCCCAACTAAAAAAAGCCCAACTAAAAAGCCCAAGTAAACACTGAAAAAGGGAGCCCAAAACGCAACATACATGATGCGTTGATGCCTAAGTGATGCACGCATCGTGTGATGCATAGGTGATGCGTTCGCATCATGGAATCGCATCGCATCAGACTCTTTGATGCGTTCTGTCCAGCGCATCAGAGCGCATAATGCGCGCATTTTTAAACCAAGATTCAAACATACACAGTTTATTCTTCATTACAAAAGAAGGTTTTTAGCATGAATTTTAGTACACAATATCACTTTGATTTTCAGTAGTCAACCTGAACACTTTAACCCAATATTTTTACCATGTGATAGTCATTCCTCGAAACGCTAATTCAGTGCAAGTAACTTGGCTATATGGCTAGCAGTCAAAACTGCGCAGCATCAACATTATACTGAATACTGGGGGTGTATAGAAGGGACAGTTGCAGAACAGAAATAATGATTCCTTTCATCCCAAAAAAATTAACACGATTATCATAAAAAATTTGAAGTCAAATAACCTGTTTATCGCTATTGAAGTCATCACAAAAGTAGTGGACTTTGAATAGGTCCACAAGATTTACTTTAGTAGAATATATTGGTTAATTTAGACTAATAGATATGGTCAACGACTTACATTCACTCATGAGGTAATTGTCACTAGTATCTTATATTTATATAGGGTTGGGCTCCGGTGAGAAGGAGAGTTAAGGTGAGAAGCGTAAAAAGGGATCTCCACCTCGGATGCACATTAGGATGAGATGCACCGGATCAATTCCCGTATCAAGCGCGATTCATGGGTGGGTTTGAGATTAGAAAGTGATCAAGGGTCCATATCCCTTCTTATGCTTCTCACCCTAACTCTCCTTCTCACACGATCCTTCGGCTATATATATACAAGGATAATTTTGTCTTCTTTGAAAATTGGTAGATGAAATTGACTACTCCAATTTCTTCATGGTAAGAAATGATTGTAAAGGTACACAACAACAAATAAAAATCCTTTAGAAATCTTCATGGTATTAGAACCAAGATCTACCACTCTTGGCCAATCTATACTTATCTAGCCCCCTCTCGACACTTTGGGACAATATCTTCCCATATAGCCTCAGTTGAAGGGGGTGTGTTAGTCTCATATTGGCTGGACATGGACCATTTCACCTTTATGTATGTTATCCCCTTCCCCTTAAGAGCTCATTTGGAGAGTAATCTAATGGGGTTCCACATATTTTCACATGAACTTATGTATAATTATTCATCTGCTGTGAAGTTATTATGTGAGAAATAAGTTCCAAGTCTACTGCTTTAAATCTTGTGCAAGAATGAAAACTTTAACTGGGCCAAATATGGACTACCGATTACAAATTCTTTTACGTGGCTGTGGAATGCAGATGACCGTAACGAACTTCCATATTTTCATTATCTATAATTCTTGCAGGATGTCTTCGTGGCAATTTTAATATCTAAGTAGGTTATTCAATCATAATCATTCGTGTTATGTATGAACAAGAAAAGCTATGGCACATTCACATTTTAGGAAAAAGAATGTCACCTTTTCTCTTGTTATGTAGAGCAAAGAATTCAAGATGTATATTTGTGTGTATGGATATATATATATATATACATGTGTGTATGTGTGTGCATATATATATATACATGTGTATGTGTGTGTGCACACGTGCATGCATGTGCGTGTATACATATGTAACTTACATCATTTCCCAGACATAGAACAAATTCTGGAGCACGGTCCATGTCAGGTGCGTGTTGGTCGAGTATGACAGGAAGCCTACACAAATTGCCATGTGGATCCACATGAATGCTGAAATATTCATCCAGCATCTCAGCCCTCTGCTTAAGGAGTTCCGCATTCATCTGCGTATAGGATAAAGAAGCAGCTGTAGCAATAGAAATAAACAGTGATATTGAAACTAGTGATCCCACATTGGATGATAGAGGTATATATATATATATATATATATATATATGATATTGGGTTACTCCACTCATGAACCAATTGGTATCTAGTAAGAACCTATTAATATGGATTCGCCTCTGCAGACCCAATGGCCAATACGCAGCGTCTGTGCCACCCAAACACTATGTCTATGTTAAGGTTTAAGAACAGATTGATCCAGGGGGGATGTTCAAACTAGCGATCCCACATCGAGAGAAACAGCTTATGTTATCAATGTATATGCTCTAGATAACACCGCTCATCCAATTGGTTTCAGTTGGAACCCACAAGGGATAGTTAATAGCAGTAAACAGCAGTGGTACTGCATCTTACTTTTTAATATCGATTTCACCACATTGTTGGATTTGAAGAATCAAAAAATTAAAACACAACATTTATGATCATGGACAAACTACAATTGAAGAATCCCCTATGTTGATTGGGCAACAAAAACCCAATAGAAAGTCTACTGCTGGGTGAGCGAGGGACCCTTTGCTTTTTTTCCCTCATTAAGATCTACCTGGAATAAAATTACTTAATGTGGTTTCAGTGTTTAGAGATTTCTGTCTCTTTTCAATGAATTGAACTGACCAGTACAACAATTATTTATAGTCAAAAGAGAGGAGCAAGACTATATCCTATCCATCCATCTATTACAAATCTACGCCGTACATGTAGCCGGTGAATTTGTTGTAATAAAAAATGATGGATTGGCTTAACATCCCCCTGCGAGCCGAGCAGGAGTGTACGAACAGTGAGGCTCGAACGTAACGCAAGAAATCTGGCTGCCAGAAGAGGTTTAGTTAGAATGTTTGCCAACTGATTTTTGCTAGAGACGATAGAGATATTGAGAGATTTAGCGTTGACACGATCTTGAACAAAGTTATAGTCCAATCCCAAGTGTTTCACACGGGAGTTGAGGACCCGATTAGTCGCCAGTAGGAAGGGCCAATATTGTCACAGTATAATGTAGGAGAAGATGGTAGATAAACACCCAGTTCTTTCAAAAGATATTGAACCCAAATTACCTCACTATAATGGCCAAAGCTTTAAATTCTGCTTCAGTTGTGGACCTTGCAATAATGAGTTGGTTCTTTTGGAACTCCACGAGATTAAGTTGTCACCAAAAAAGATGCAAGATGCAATATCCTCCGGTAGACTTGCGAACATCTGCGCAACCAGCCCAATCCGCGTCGGAAAAAGCATGAATGTAAGGAAATTCTGCATCAGCGAATGCTCGATGACATGGTGAACTAGACTTTCTGATAAGAAGACCATGATGCAGAGTGTGCTTGAGATAGCGGAGGATGCATTTAAGCGCTCGCCAGTGTGTATCTCTAGGAGAATGCATGAACTGACACACTTTGTTGCCATCGAAGAGATGTCAGGGCGAGTGAAAGACAGACACCGAAGGCTGCTGACGATACTACGATACTGTTTTGGGTCACAAAAGGCATGACCATCTGTTGCTGACAGCACCGTAGAGGAGGCCATTGGAGTCTGCATTGGTTTGGCATTGATCATTCTAGCTGATGTGAGCAGATCAGTGATGTGTTTTTGATTTGAGTTAACAGCAGGCCTCCAAAACATTTAGAAACCTCAATACCCAGAAAGTATGATAGATCACCAAGACGTTTCACAGGAAACTCAATGGCCAACATGTTGATCAGAGTGTTGATAGCAGAAGAAGAAGAGCGGTAATTATGATGCCATCGACGTAAACTAACACATAGATGGAAACATTCGCCTGAGAAAAGCAAAACAATGATGGGTCGGCACGGCAAGAATGATATCCAAGCTCAAAAAGCTCTGTGGAGTCTCTCATACCAAGCCCATGGCGCCTGCCTTAGGCCATAGATAGCGCGCTTTAGCTTGCAAACATGATTAGGTAACTCCGGATGAGTAAAACCAGGGGGTTGTTCCATGTAGACGTCTTCGTCTAAGAAACCATGAAGAAATGCATTTTGTACATCAAGTTGTTGTAGAACTCATCCTGATGAGACTCTCATTGATAGAAGTAAACAAACTGTGACCGGTTTTACGACTGGAGATAAGTGGCATGATAATCAAGGCCCTCCAATTGAAGGAAGCCTTTGGCAACCAAGCGGGCCTTGTACCGATCGATTGAACCATCAGGCTTGTATTTGAGACGGAAAATCCATTTGCATCCGACTACATTCTGGGATGGAGCTGCTGGAAGAACTAATTCCCAGGTGCCATCTTTTAACAAGGCATGCATCTCATCATTGAGAGCTTGAGTCCAATTTGAGTCACGCAAGGCTGTTGTAACACTAAATGGTGTTGTAACAGAACATTCAGCAGTGTATGCACCAGGTTTTGACAAAGGCCACGGTATGGTTCCATTGATATGAACTTTGGGTTTGAAGATGTGTCCAGCTCGAGTGATTATGGGAGGAAGATCTTCTGATGAAGGAGCAGAAACAGGTATCTGCACTGAGGGAGTTTCATCAATGGTTGTATGAGCAGGAGAAGGTGATTGAGCAGGAGATATGTTCTGTGGAGCTGCTGAAAAAGACTGCTCAGATTAGATGGAGAAGGTGGAGAGGCAGAGGTTGTGGTTGGGATTGTGAAAAGTGGTCAGAGATAGGAGTGAATGATGAAGATGGTGGAGTAGGAGTAGTGAAAGGAAATGTAGTATCATAAAAAATGACATCACGGGTTGTGAAGATTTTGTGAGTCTCAAGGGATTAGCATAAGTATCTGATAGGTACTAAATTAATAAGGATAGGAATAGGCTAGCTTTTTATTGATAGTGGCCCGATTCGAGAGGGGCAAGGTCTCCGTTAACAAGAAAAGATAAATATGAGTAACTTCGATGATAACAATGATAAGCAAGCCTGTTATTTATACTATCCTATTCTTAGAATTAAGTATGGTAACTGCTAAAATCAAGTGTGGTAATCTCTCCCTAATTCCTTGGTTAACCATCAATTGATTTGAGTAAATTCAGCCAGTTGACCATCAATTGTTTTGGCCTAGTGGATTCAGCCAAGTCCCAAAAATAGAATTCAGCTGCCCCATATTGGCAGCTGTGACCCGGTTCCTTTTCCTCGAGTACACCTTCAGCGGGTTTTTATCATTACTTCCCTCCAGGTAAAACGCCTTATCCTCAAGGCGGAATGCAGGAAATTGCTTAGCCACTAGATTATAAGTTTCCCACGTGAATTCTTCGATGGGATGATTATACCAAGAGACCAAAAATTCTAAGTTTGGGCGGCCAGCTTCATAAACCTAGAGATAACCTAGCGATGAGTGATGACAGAACTTGGTTGCAAGTCAATTTCCCAGTCTTTGGTGATGGGTAATGGTGCAGCTGAAACTGAAGAAAAAGAGCCATGGGCAGGTTTAAGCATTGAGACATGGAAGACCAGGTGGATTTTAGTAAAGTAGACAGCAATGACCGAAACTCATCCTCCCCACATTTTGGAAATATTTGATACGATAATGGAACAAGTTTTCGATTTGTTTATGAAATGCTAAGAAAGTGGGAAGCACATCAGATTTGCGTCGTAAATGGAACAACCATGAATACTTAGTGAAATCATCAACAACGACAACATAGTATTTGTATCCTAAGAAAGATCAAAACAGGGGATGGTCCCCATACATTAGAAAAAACAAGATAAAATGGATGGGGGGAAGGTGGATGCGGTAGCTTATGAGACTTGGCATTGCGGCAGCTTGGGCATTGATGATGTGGTCGGGAACCATAAATCGGAGTGAATACTCGGAGATGATGTGTTGAACAAAGGTGGAGGGATGGATGACCAAGACGGGAGTGCCAGTGGGAGAAAGAGGTTCGTTCACCAATATGTGCTTCTGGTTGGGGAAGAGATGAAGCACATACAAGCCATTTTTAGAATCGCCTCGGAGTAGAGTTGCCTGTGTATTATGATCCTTTACCAAAAAATTGTTAGCATGAAATTGGAAGTAAACATTATGATCACAACAAAATCGATACCTCAATAAATGCGAACAAGAAGCTGGGAGACATCACTAATGGAAAACTAGCTGATGTCAAGGGGTATCCGGTAACCCAACCTTTCTAAGGATCAAGGGTTCCAACCTCACCAAAGGTGAGGCGTGTGTGTGAAATTCATTTGCTAAATATAAAAATCTTATACTTGAAAAACAACTAGCCGATGTCCAACAATACCAACAGCTAGTAGGACGACTAATCTACTTATCGCACACCCGACATAGCATTCACAGTTAGTGTCAAGAATCGGCTCAAGCACTGCCCGTATGAAAAACATCTTGAAGAAGCCTGCAAAATTCTCAGATATTTAAAGAGTTACACCAGTGAAGGCTTGCTCATTAAAAACAGAGAAGCCAAACGATAAAAAAGCCTTCCCTAATGCAAGTTGGGCAAACCTAACCACAAGTAGATGTATATCCGGTTACAATACTTATGTATAGATGAATCTCATCATGTAACGAAGTAAGAAGTAGATTGTGATAGCTCCAAATACCACAAAAGTTGAATGTTGAGCTATGGTGAATGATATATGTGGGATACTTGGGATCAAAATAGTTATTCCATACCTCATAATAGAAGTTGAGCTACCAATGAAGTTTTATGATGATAAAGCAGCCATTAGAATCTCACAAAATCCGGTATAACACAGCTGAACAAAGCACATCAAAGTGGACCACCACTTTATAGAAGAAAATGTGGACATTGGAATAATTTGTGCTCTATATGTTGCATCCAAAAACCAAAAAACAAATATTCTAACCAAGGTGTTATTTGAACCTACCTTTGACTTTCTTGTAAACAAGTTCGGCATGTGTGATATATCTGGACCAACTTGAAGGGAAGTGTAGAAAGATTGTAATTAAAATGTGCATCAGGTAGATGTACATTATGCATTAGGTACTTGTACAAATTAGATACCAAATTTATTCAAATAGACAGACCTATTCTTTAGCAAGTAGCTACAATATAACAGCCTTATGACTCTTATCAAATATAATGGATTTCACCTGAATTTCACATCTAGGTTTATCTACATATAGGCCCATGGCCCATTATTGCATCTATATACATAGACTTAGAAGAAACACACCTTCACCATTCTTCACATTTTCTTTTGTTTCTTGTACTTCTTTTAACTGGGATCACTTTGTTGCAAGTCCTCACTAAATATGATACAAGGTATTGTTAAGATATCTTTCTCTAAGTATTTCGATTTCCTGTAACAAAATTATTTTTAAAAACCAAAATTTTAGGTTTTGTCACGGCAATTGGCTCGATTTAAACTAAGAAATTTCTATCATCATGCCGTTTATAAACCCTTTGACACACAATTTACAAACTCTCAAGCCTTCACCACTTGCAAGATAATTAAAAGGCTTGTCACTACTTATGAGAAATGAATATGTTGCTTCAACCGATTTCCGAAATTTAATGTTGATTGATATGCCATCAAATCACAATGGCAACTCTATATGGACTTTGTGACTTCTAAGAGCCTCATGATAAACAATAAGAGAGGCGCCTTGTTCAGGTACTCATGTTTGCTGCCTCAATGGCCATGCCCAAATTCAAATAGGACATAGGTATGTGCTTTTGGTGCAGGTCTTCAGCAAGGCATGGTAGGCCCAAGTGAACTACAGTGGTAATTTTTATACGTTTTTATAAATTTCCAGCTTGAGTAGTGGCTCACATTTTCAGTCAACGAAACACAGCAGAGGATAGGCTTGCAGCAATAGAATAACACTGTGACCCAGAACCCAAACAACTTTGACGAAGACAGATAGACAACTATAGAAGCTATAAAGTCGTCAAGGTGCAAAATAACATGAAAGAGAAATACTGATCAAATCGAAGAAATTGACAGATAATCTTACTTCAGCAATCTTTTCTTTCAAGTCATCGTTTTCACTGCCCTCTGGATCCATATCTTCCTCCCTCAGTGCCAACGTGATTAATTCTCGTAGTGGAGCGGGATCACTCAATTCTATTGCGTTGAAGTAACCAAATCGTTGCAGAACCAGTTGATACATGAGCTCTTTGCTACAAAAAGAATAGATTCAAGAAATAAAGAATGGAGTACCCAAGCTGTAGGAACTCGGCAAAGTTATAGAGATACATCAAGTACTTATACCTGCTGAAACAGAACAGAAGTTTTAGATATAGTAAAATTACTTGGTAATTCTTATCTCCTTATCTGTCTCAGCCTACAGAACCATCTTATGTAGTGCTCTAATTTTTGGGGTCCTCTCTCGGTAACATACAGAACAATTGTAACCTGAATATTTATATGGTAACAAACTTCAAGCAATGAAAAACAGAACTCTTGAGCACCAAAAATCAGCCTCCTAGAACAGCAATCTTCCTACTTCCCACTCCCAACAGCAACAGGATCTAGCAAAGACAGCCTCGTCAACTCTTCTGGTTGATTTTGACAATCAGAAGCATCTCTTTTGCTGATTTGTTGTCTAGACAAACACTATCCAGGCTTCTATCTTCAAGCGCATCTGCTTAGGAATCACCGGGAATAGCCAGCCCCTAGTCCCCTTGCCAAATGAAGTCTAGCCCATCCTTACATGTCAATATGTTATCTAGTTGCATTACCCTTACTTTCACCTAAATCTTCTGTCAGACACATCACTTAACCCACAGAGTTGAACTGATAGGGATTTTCTTTAAGTTTCTGTTCTCATCCAGACCTTTTCATATCCCTTAATCTTCACATATCAAGGTCATATTCCATATAGCTCTTATAACCGTGTTATAGTAAGTGAGCTATTGTTTGATCCCTAGACTTCACATTAGAACCTTGCCTTATTTTAAAGTATCCCAAGAGCTCTCAGAAATAGGTGTCTTATTTTCCGATCAGGGTGCATTCGCTGAGTAGGCATGACATATAGATCAGGTTCAGTTGTTTATTGGTGGAAATCCACTATCTTGGAAAAACAAGCAGAATAGGTAGAGCTAAGACATCTTCAAGAGATATAGTTCAGCTCTTGAAGACATCATTTTGTAAATAGCAAGTTTTCTGTACTCAAATCGACAAACATACAGCCAGAATGCTTAGGGGAGTATAAATAAATGTTGTTTCTTGTCCAGTGTTAAGTTCAAGTACTGAGCTATACTGACATCACAAATGAAATTACCTAGACAAAGCATCTACTTGCAAGTTGGGAGGTCTCCCTAAGATGCTGACTATTACACTCTCATAGTTAATCAGCCACCAATATAACAGAACTTTTTCATGAGAAAACAAAACAGATAGAAGTACATTGTCATCTCATTTATGACAGCATTATCAGGACATAGGACTTAAGATCTATTCAGCATGTGCACAATAGAAGTACATATTAGTTCGCGAATATCTTCACCAAGCTAATACGCAAACCTCAAATCAACTACATATCAGCAAGTTAGCATGATTGACATCTATGCTCCTACTCGGGGAGTGTTGGATATATTTGAAAATGATTTAGACATAGTTAACATTGATTTCAACATCCTATTCTATTTATATTTAGGCCAGTTTCAATTCTTAGGTCCACAATGTACTCCACATGTAGTGTATCTAACATCAATAAAGAATACTATATTACAACCCTAATCTCTTTGAGACTAATCTGACCCAAAAAACTTACTAATTATATTAAATTTATATACATGTGTATAGATAAGAGCATCCACAATCATGAACCTCTTTAGAGGTTCATGATTTTCCACAACAGCTTTCTCTCTCTGCCACATCAGTTTTCTCTTTCCCACACATTTCATTAACCCTTCACTCTCAATCATGAACCAGTCCATAGTTTATATAACAAAAAACTACAAGAACAAAAATTATAATAACTGAAAATTACTTATAATAATTAAAAAGACAATAATTAGGTATTATAATTAAAAAACAATGTTTAAAAATTACAATAATAAAAGTTATGCTAGTTAACGATCATGAAAAATAAGGTATATAAATAAAAATCATAAAAACTAAAAATTAAATTGACAAATTAACCAACAATATTTTGTAATTATAATACTATATTAATTTATGTTATAAATAAAAATTATCATTTTTAAAATATACATTATTAAATAATAATTAAAATATACCGTAAAAATTATCAACGGCAATGAGTATATTGTTTTTTAGTCATCACAAAATATATTTCATTTATTAACTATTTTAATAATAATAATAAAAAAAGGATAATGAGGAGTGGAAAGAGAGGTATGGAGTTGGAGGTGGTGGGACGCACAATATAGAGGTTCCTCTGCATGAACCTTTTCTTTTCCACATGGCTTGTACCGATTTTCTCCAATGGTTTCATTTTTTTAAGGAGTGGTCCATAAACCTCTTCCCTTTACCGATGTGGATGCTCTAATAAGAATACACCCTAATCAATGATATTGTTTCCACTTGCATTGCTTATGTCACCCTCTCTGAACAATCATGGCTAGCATATGTCCATGATTCAAGAATCTACCAATTGTGCTTTATCTGGTTCTTTAGTGCCATTTCATTTCATTTTATACAGACATCATAATACTGAGGAAACATATTTAGCTATGGGCCTACCAATTTCAACATCAGACAAGAATAGTAATCTTTCTTCAAACTACTAAAACTGATCATCAGCGCATCACAGAGTGTATAGCAGAGAGCCCTTAATATAGAGTTATAGATCATCAAACCATCATTTAGATCACTCAGTGACACATACAAGGTGAATATATAGTAATGGTGCTTGTGCCTAGATGATAAAACGGATGTGCTTCTGAACCGGATATGGACAGTTCCAACAAGATTTCATTCTTGAACAAAAATCCATTGTATGGACAGCTATCTCTCGAGCACAGGTTTAGGTTCGGCCTCAATGGGAAAATAAAATGGAGCACCTTATGGCCCTGGCCCGTAAATGGACCTTTATGAGCTTCTAAAATATCTTTTGGGATCTATATAGGTTACACTTCGGGCTTATGTCAACCACATGTGGTATTTATAGTTCTCAATAGGTCACTACATGAAAAAGATAGGGCATCCCTGATCATAAAACTCTTACAAACGTCAAAAGTGATAGAGAGCTACTTGTTTACCTCCATTTCTAACCCTACTATGATCGAATTTCCTTTAAAATAGGGTTTTGATAAGAACAGGCAAAACCAGAATACTTAAATGTTTAAACTAGTGAGTTGAAATACATAACTTATAACAATTAATCAGTAGTTCTTCTCTTTGCAGCAAGACCATGAGGTTTACCAGAAAGTGAAAAGAGAATATGGCATGAATTGTCAAATAAGATTGTAATAGAGTGGCAGGCTTATTAGAAGCAACGGTAGATCATATGTAAGGATAGCCATCTCCCTTATGCAGTTAGGCTTGTTTTAAGAACCACGCCCTAGAACCCGACAGCCAAGAGAATATGCAGAAGGTCAACATATCGCTCATAGCACTCAAGTCCAGGTCAGTGGTAGTAGCCTCTCTTAAATCTTTAGTTATCACCGCCGGCCCACAATTCCCCTGATGCAATTAGCATCTGAATAGCTCAAAGTGTAGGCTGTGGTGAGACAAATGTGATTGGGCAACACATATATTTGGTAGACACAGATGCTGAAAATGTGAAACTAAACTTTCCCCCGGCTAAACACAGATGTGCAATAATATTTACATGATTTGATCGGTCGTGCCAATTGAAAATAATGAGTAGATGCACACAATCATGCAGGGATTGCTCATAGGAGTTGCACGAGGCTGTCACATATGATGTCGAATTTTGTAATTACATTTCCTAGGTCTGTATTAATGTAATTGGGGCACATTAGATAACATTAGGGTGTCTGTGCTTTGAGAGATTTTCTAAGTAAGAACACTATTGTAATCCTCCTTTGATTTTTGAAATTAATACAAAGCCTCCTCCCCTCCCATGTGGGCATACACAATCTCATTGATAGTAGAACCATCATTGTTGCGTTCTCATTGTGTTCTTCATGTTTTGTTTCATTACATATTGGTGTTATTTGCATTGAGTTCGATTGTAGCATTTGAAGTTGCACTTGGATGATCATAAGCTTGAAGATTCTCCACATTGTGGTTGGTGTTTGTTCTTTTGTTATTAGTGGCTAGAGAATATTTAATCCCAACAGCAAACGGGTGGAATAAGGTATTACCACACATTCAAATACATTTAGTGATCTTTTACTTTAAAAAGCTAAGGAACAAGGCTAGTATATTACCTTAAATTTACAACATTTGCAAGATATAAATGGGTATTATGCTGAAAGAGAGCAAAGACATCATCGGCCATTCCAACATATGTGCAGTTCCTTACAATGTCCAAAAGACCTAAAAGACAGAAAGCACTGCCATGAGTAGTACAATATTAAGCATTATGAGAAAATGAGTTTGGTCTAAATACCAGAATGGCAACCACGTTCAAACTCATCGATAAGCTCCTGAACACTCGTAAGATCAGCAGTTTCCTTTGGGTTCCTCCTTTGCCTGATGGAAGATCTGCAGTCAGGTGATGAGATGTGTGAGTCTGAAAACCTGGTTGTTAATTTGAAGATGCAATACTCTCCCTAGGGATCCCTCACTTCAGCGCTCATTACAACAAAAACCAAGTACTAGGTGCCTACAAAATTGAACGATCTGGACTTCCTAAATATCTTTTTATTAGAAAGATATCACACATTGGGCTTTCTAATGCACATTTAGTGTTGATTTGTTTCAGTCTCTCCGTCCCAGCGATTAAGGCATTAATGCACTATATATTCATATCATTCTCAATAACAACCAGACATGACATAGGCAAAGACTAATTTGTTTCATCATACTTGAAATAAAAACGTGAGAGTTCTACATTTGCTGCCCGGAACATCTAGCGGCAAGCACATGGGGGTGTTCGATTCTTAGTTCGTTTCTGTATCTATTAAGTAATTCTTCTTGTTCTCGTTGTTTGTGATTTGGATCCTTGAAAGGGCTGATGCATGAATGGGTTGTACTTCATCGAAGTTCAAATGGTCCATACACTTTGTGTAATTAGACAAAAGTCCCCGAACTTTCAGCATTACAAATTAGTAACTAAGCTTTCTGGATGTAGAATGATTCCACAATATCAATTGCAACAAAAATAACCTAGAACTTCACATGATACAAAACATGCCTGGACTTTTTAGAATTCACAGAACTAACAATGAATTCTCTGCCATAACAAATTGAATTACAAGACTTTCACAAAGCATAAATCTAGCAAAACAGTTTGGAACCAGGTTGGAGATTCACCAACAAGAGTGAAACAGGATTGGTGAAGTCGCCTGAATGGGAACATTTTATTAGAGACCAACAAGGTGGCCAGTTATACATGCCATTACAAGACTGTTGAGAGTTGCATGATGCCACATCGCTTGTCATTTCTTGAAAGTGTCTTTTTCGGGGAACATGGTCAACCAGAAACACTTATGTTCGCGATTCTTCATCCACAGATGCAAAAAATGGCATTTGGGCCAATAGATAGAGCCATCCCATCCAATGCCTTCTCATTATCGCTCCATGGGGGCTTTCTCAAAGGAAGGTGCCAGGTTCATCAAGGTTGAAATTAAACCTGATAGAGATCCCAAACAGGTAGCAATAGGCTCCAAAAAGGCTTGCAGATGGCAGATTGAGTGTCAGGAGTACATCACAAAAGCAGATTGGAATCTGTGAGGGCAGATCACAGCTTGAATCAGGCTGTCAGAGCCTTCAGAGGATGCCTGTGTATGGTCACAACTCACAAGTATCCTGTGAGGCTTTCAGAATCCTAGAAAACCATGAGAGGGATGACAAGGGAAGATTAAGTTTGTGAATCTGTTGAAATACATGACAAGATCAAAAATCTCCTACAAAACTATGTGCGTGCATTGGAAGGATAGATATGGGCATATGGCTGGATCTAGTACTGATAGATTCAAAGAAGGCTGAAAAAATCTGGATGACTAGTCAGATCCATGAGCAGGTTGTGAAAGAGCTGGAACTGAGGCAGCAAAACTGTTGGTGGTGATTGATTACAGGGTAACTGCTTGCAGTAGCCTAGAGATGATGAGGCAGCGTTGAAACAAACAAAAACTACCATTATGCCTCCTAATGACCAGAAGTGAAACTCTCAAGTGATTGTGAACCTAAAGCTTTGGTACTATGAATATAAACACGAATATATAGCACCAATAGTAGAATAATGGGCTGAAGCTAATTAGCCAAAGTCTAACCTAATTGTATCTCCTAATAAGATCCAACTATCCAAAAATATTATGAATTCCTTAAGGAAAAGGTCTATAGCAAATTCATATTTTGTATATGAAAGATGCTAACATTCATGCATATTAACATATATAGCTAATGCAAGGATGGATTTGCACATATAGGTATCGATTATGCTTTAGAAGAACCAAGAAAGAAACACATCTGAAAAACAATTTGTTAGGCAAACCGAGTGTGTTTGCAGGAAAATACCTGTGTTGTACACATAGGCAATATGTCCTCACATGTGATGACGCTTAAGATATTGCTCATCAGAATAGGTCTAATGGGTAACAGTTCCAGGTCACTATTCTTGGAGGACACCCATAATTTCTATAAGACACATATCAAGGTCACATCATGCTCCTGATACTTGTCATTGGGAGGCTGTTCTATGTATCTTTAAGGTATATCAGTGGCACCCATGGAGAGGCATCGTTTGGCGGTGTATATGGTTGGTTGTTGATCAACGAAAAGCATGAAACTTAGTTTCATGTGTACCATGTGCAACTTAGTTTCATGGAAAAAACAATAAACAGCCTACTGTCTTTCCAATAAAGAATCTGGATACTAATGGTGAAATGAGTTTGACAAAGACATGCATGAGACACTCCACTGTTACTAATGAGGTTATACCATGATAATTGGTGTAATTCATCTAATGAAGATCCAGACCTTTCACAAGCAAAGGATGATAATAAAAGTTATATGCTATTTGCTAACCTATATACAATGGTGAAATGGGTAACACAAGAGATCCTCCAACCATCTAACCCATCCGCATTTAAACAGAGTATTAACTAGCAAATATTGTGAAGAAGCCACTATGGAAACCACATATTGATTTATTTTTGGCAAGTTCATCGTGACATGTACCCTTTGCTCAAACTTGAGAAGTGTTGTACTATACGCATCTTTAGTTCAACTTTTATGCATCAGTATTGCCTAGCAAACATTGCATGGAAGCCACAACAGAAACCTCATATTGATTTTTTGTGCAAGTTGAGCATGGCAGTTACCTTTGCTCCAACTTGAGTGTTGGTCACCTCTTTACTTCAACCTTTATGCATATAGAATGTGTTGTCCAAGTACATTAGCCAAAAGGGTTCCCTTTGATTTGTTTGTAACTTATTGTTGACCCACAAACCAACAACGTACACATTGATTATAAGGTAATTCCCCTCGAGTAAAAAAAATCCAAATCATTATTAACTGTAACAGCAACAATAGTAAGAAAAAAATAACAATAACAAGAAAGAAAAACTTGTTCATCTCATGAGTAGAAGTACTGAGACAATTACCCCATGTGCTGAATGGTAAAAAGAAGATGAGGGAACTTAGACAAATGGACTTTACCAGCAAGGAATGTCCCCAAACTAGTGCCAAGTTATTGAAACAAAACTAACTTCTATAATCAAATGCAAAATTTGAATGTGATAAGTAACTAATAGTCTGTTAAGAAGATCAAATTCCAATCAATCCTTACCATGATACAAATGGAGCCCTGATCACCACATGGAATTAATACATTCATATATGAAAGTCCCAACAAATGTGGATCACGATTCACAGAAGTCAATGGGTCCATATACCAATTATCCTACCTGAAAGAATTCAAGCTACAAATGCTTTCATGGTGCATGGAAGGCTTTACTTGCAAATAAGCATGCAACCTCCCAGATGGAGCCTGTGAATCTGTCCGCACCATCTTATGTACAGGTACTTTCTGTGACCCTCCAAAATATATGAAAACAAGTTAGAATGCTAATAGAATCATCTACTCTTATAGATATGATCAAGTCTAAGAAAAAGAAAAGAACACCAGTTTGCATACCAGAAGTTGACGTATTTATAGGAGAAACTTTATCTGCGGCTACCAAACTGACTGGAGAGCAATCAACTTCCTGTTAAGCACACAAAATAAAAGATAATAGACGAACCACAATGAAAGGGTAGACGTATCTATGCCTTCGTCGAAAGAGTGGAATTAGATGATGGAAGACATTCATATTCTGCTCTTCCATGTACTATGCTGGAAGAATGTGTGTTATTTATACATTACTTCAATATAGCATGTCCATGTTTTCAATGAGAATGCATGTACATTCTTAAAAACAATTTTTCACATAAAATGAATAATGTATGAGAAGATTGTATCCTGTCCAAGAAGAGAACACTAGACAAAGCTAACAAAAACTAATGAACTTGTAGAGGTTTTGGGTAGAACATTTGTATTTACCATCCAAATGAAGTATATAGTGGGTGATGGGTGTTATAACTTATCATTTAAATAAACAAATAAAAGGAGAACCCTAAAGAGCAGGCTAACAACAAGATAGTGGAGGCCTACCATAAACTTGTTGCATATGAAGGCAGCCTTAGTTTTTGGCTAGATACGAATAGGATGACTGGTGTACCCCCAAAATCATTTCTCGCTATAGTGACAAAACGCTCGGCCTGCATCCCGCCCAAAAGAACCACTCACTAGCTAGCCAGACTAGTGAGCTTCTTAGTGAACTCACTGCTGAGTTCTTCAGTTAGCTGGGACTTTTCCTGATCCGGACACTAAAGATTCTCTGCTATAATCCTTTTCCTTTACAATAGGGTCGTCGTCGGTCCTCTTTTGCACTAAAAACCCCAATGTGTTTGGTCTTCTTGACGATATGGATAGCAAACTCATCATCACAATAGAGCCTTGTCAATTAACCCCTAACTCTTGTATAGTTTGTCTAGGTCATCTCTCCTATGAAGTTAGCCTTCGCCTAATGCTCAAACTCAGCATGGAGTAAGACACTATAAGGTTGCCACAATAAACACAAAGAACGTAGCACAGTCGTGCCAAATCATTCCTTTGCAAATGAGTCCACTATGCAGTGGCCTTAAGCAAAGTAAAGAATTACTCTCCCTGAAAAACACTACATACAAGAATGTTTCACGTAAATAACACAAACAATCCCTAATGGTCCCAAACAAATTACCAGGAACCCAAACATGTACAATCCAAAACAACAACGCGCAAAACAAAATTCTAGCTATGTGTAAACAACGATCAATCCAAAATAATCAACCCACAATAATGAAAATAGCAAGAACAAGCTCAAACAGACAAATATAGTAATGGCACCAAATCGAGACACTGAAACTTAACGTGGTTTCACTATCGATGTGATAGTGTACATCATAGGGGAAAGATACGCTATTATTGATAAAAGGTGAATTACAATAGAACTTGCATGATCAAACATGTCAAAAATAAGCAAATTTCTTCTCCAAGTTCGCAATCTAGGGTCTCGATCTAAGGTTGACGCTGAGGTCACCTGGTTCCCAAAAATTTAGTGTTTGTGAGCCGCTAAACATGAGAGTCGGGTCACGCGTGCTCGAGTTGCAAGGTCGCAAATCATGTACCGCAAGTCCCAAAGTAATCCACGACACCTAGCCACAAGTAGGTAGGTCACGCACCTCAAATCGCGATGACACAAATTATGTACCATAGCTATTGAATTGCTTCCAACCAAGGTTTTAAAAAAAGGAAATGAGCCTCGGGCGTTTTTCCCCTTAGATACATGAGGCATAAGCCTTTAAACGGTCCAAGACGTAAGCCTTTAGGTACATAAGGCATAATCATCTTCTTCAAGACCATCTTCGATTTCTAAACCAACTTAAATATTCTTCCTCTTTCTTGAATTCGAATCCTTGCCTTCATACCCAATTGTCTCCTTGCGGTCTTCTTCATCAATTAGATTATCTATCAATTAATCACCCAAAGAGATATATTCAACAATTGGATCTTCTTACTCTTTTAGCGCCATCTTTAGATATCGATGTTTTAACTTCTTGTTGTACATAATGTACACCAAGCTATTCATCTTCTTCAAGCTTAGGTGATTTCTTCTCTGCACTTGATCAGTTGATTGAACGTACTCCATTTACGTTCACATGTGGAAGCCGAACAAGTAAACCCAAGAATTTTTGTCGCAAACGACTTTAGCTCCTGCACCGTAGTCTAAAATTTCGCGCCATTGAATTGTGTCGATGAAAAAGAGAAAAATTAAGTATACTTTCTAATGGCAAAAAATTCGTGTCAAACGTTCTTGTCAAGCTCATGGATAGATTTGTAGGGAACAAAGGAGACGTCGAAATGTGTCTCCCCAACGATTGCTAAAGTTAGTTTGGACAATTTAATGTGACAATGGGATTACATTCAATGTTGTAAAAAGTCCCTCATACTTCATGTGGTGTGCGGTTACAAATTATTGTCGTGGAATTAAAGTACCTACAATACACGAGATGAGGATCTGTATAAGTGTATATCAAAAGAAGTAAAGATGACTACCGGAATCGTAAAAAGCAACATTAGAAATTGGGGTCTCATTGTCATTCGATGGTTGTTCAGACATGATAAATAAAAGCTTGATCAATTTTCAAGTCAACAATCAATTTGAAACATTTTCTTGAAAAGCGTTGATGTATCGGATCGTTGGAAGATGCACAATAACTATTTTAGCTGCTTGATGTTGTTATCAAAAAGATTGGGGAAGATATCGTGACTCAAGTGATCACAGATAATGTTAGTGCATAGAAAGTTGCAGAGAACTTGAATGATAGCCAATCCAAATGAATAAGAAAATGGCGACAAGGCAATTGAGGTAGAAGGCAAAGGTTCATATTCAAGAAAGAAGAAAAGTATGCAAGTTGATTTAGAAAAGAAAGAAGAAAATGATTATGATTATGAATATGACGGTGGAGATATGCAATTCAATCACCTTCATGAACTTAAGACTGGAACTAATTAATTTAGTTTATGTTTTTAGAACATAAAACTAGCAGGTTTATAACTGGATATTATACCTTGGTTATTTGGTAATGAAATATAGAATTATGCTTTTTTGTCAAGTGTTATGAATTTATGAATTCTATTTGTTTTATTTTTTGGAGCTTACACCCCACCTACCTAACGGAAAAACACCTCGATGCTCGTTTCCGTTTTTTAAAACTTTGTATAAGAGAACCGGAGACACGAAAAAAGGAGACTACCCATCTCCTTTCTATTTTGCTTACGCTCCTGGTTTCAATCTGTACATCGTTTTGCAAATATCCTGTTTTGCTTTACGAGTTTAAATCATCTATATCTATTCCATAATTTGCACAATGGTAAGAGATAATTATGGTTAAGTTAGAAGAAAGATTTAGTAAGTATTTTATTGGGTCCCGATGCTCATAACCATGGACCCATCAGCTTTACTCTATATATTCATAACTCTCCCTCAATAATACACATATTCTCTTCATACTTGAACGTTTACATATTGAAGAAGATGTATTAGCTTTACCAATTACCAATTAAAGAGCTCGAAAACACCAATGGGTCAAGAATCTTTAACTAATAGATGATTTAACATAAAGAGAAGCAAAAAAAAGTGGGAGGATTGGTGTACATCAATGAAACCAAAAAAAGCACCTAAATTCTAGGATAATCACTATTGACTCAAACAAATTACAGAGAAATGGTAATTAACCCGTTATACGAAGGTTGGTTTAGAACATAGTTACTCTATGACATCCCATTAGTTGGAATTTGTGTATCAATCATGTCGAGCTTGATCCAAATAACCGCATTAACCCATTGTAAATAGGTCAACCTACTACCCTCATATCTCCATGAAACAAAGATAACTATCGTTGAAGCTTTTGCCAAAATAAACCGGCAGTCAACCCCATAACGTTTGTGATAGATACAGAATTGATGAAGATGAAAATAGGCTGAATCTTATTAGAAATAAAGGATAGTAGCCCGATTCGAGAGGGGCACAGTCTCCGATTACAAGAACAAGGAAATTAGAAGATAATTCTCAATGCCAATCATGAAAAACTAGCCACTAGTTTATACTAATCAAATACTAGAATTATGGGTAGAAACTAAGGGCAGGATTATACACCCTAATTTCTAGGGTAATCATTAATTAAATTGATTGCCTAAAATCATCCAGTGACTTGATCAAGAGGACTCAGCCGGTTTCCAAAGATAGAATACAGATGTCCCATTTTTGCAGCTGTGACTCGATCTTTCCTTCTTGAGTACACTTTCAATGGTGGATCTTTATCATTACTTCCCTCCCGGTAAAACGTCTTGTCCTCAAGACGGAATGTAGGAAATTGCTCAGCCATTAGATCATAGGTTTCCCATGTTGCCTCTTCTTCAGGTCGATTACACCATGAAATCAACAATTCGAGGACCGGTTGGCCAGCTTCATAGACCCATCGATGAGTGATGACCGAGTTAGGTTGTACATCAATTTCCCAGTCTTCGGTGATGGGTAATGGGATATCTGGTACCGAAGAAAAAAGCCATGGGCAGGTTTAAGCAACGAGATGTGAAATACCGGGTGGATTATAGCTTCGGGTGGTAATTCCAACTCATAAGCAACTGGACCCCCTGCTCTTTTAACACGATATGGTCCAAAAAACCTTGGAGACAGCTTCTCATAACAACGTTTAGCCAAAGTCTTTTGGCGATACGATTGAATCTTCAAGAAGACATAATCACCGACCTGAAACGTGAGTTCCCGTCGCTTCTGATTTGCTTGGCTTCACATTCTGTCTTGGGCCTTTCTGAGGTTTTGGCGAAGAAGCTTTATCATATCATCCTGATCAACTAACTGTTGTTCCAGCTCTGCGTTTTTTGTTTCGCCCGCCGCATAGGGGAACAGCGAAGGGGGTTCTCGACCATACACAACAGAGAATGGAGTTGTGCCAGTGGCCGTGTGGTACCCCGTGTTATATGAGTATTCGGCGCAAGATAAGTACATACTCCATTTGGTTGGTTGTTCACTAGCAAAGCAACGTAAGTAAGCTTCTAGGCAGCGATTCAGAACTTCGATTTGGCCATCCGTTTGAGGGTGGTAACTTGTGCTCAACTTTAATTTTGTCTGATTTAATCGGAACAATTCTTGCCAAAAGTTGCTGAGGAAGACAACATCTCGATCAGACACAATGGATCGGGGAAAGCCATGCAACCTGACTATTTCCCTACAAAAAACCGCTGCTACTCCTTTAGCTGTATAGGGATGGGATAAGCAAATGAAGTGAGCATATTTGCTTAAATGGTCCACTACAACTAAAATAGTATAAAAACGACTAGATGGTGGTAATCCAACGATAAAGTCCATGGAAACATCTTCCCAAATTTGATTGGGAATGGGTAGGGGCTGCAGTAATCCTGCTGGAGCCAACGTCTGATACTTTTGTTGTTGACAGATTATACATTGCTCGACAAACTCCCTGACATCCTGTTTCATCTTTGGCCAATAGTAACGAGAATAGAGTCTTTTGTAGGTTTTTAAAAAACCTCCATGACCACCGATTGGAGTGTCATGTGCTTCTTGTAACAGCTTGAGTTTGAGATTGTGTATCTCCAAAATCACCATCCGTCCATGATGAAACAAAAGTTGATCCACTAGCGAGAAATCAGGAACGGAGGAAGGATTTGTTTGCAACTTCTTGATCAAAACGCTAGTAAATGAATCAGTTTGCAACCCTGCCTTGATATCAGCTACCTCAACACAAAAGGGGATGATAAGGGTTAATAATTCTCCCGAGTGGGGTCGGCAAGACAGGGCATATGCCCCCTTGTTCTCTTTCCCAGCCTTATGAACAATTGAAAAATCATAAGGCATGAGTTTTAGCAAAAGCCTTTGCTGCTCGGTAGTGGTGATACTTTGTTCTAATAAGAATTTAAGGGTATAGTGATCGGTGCGAATGAGAAAATGTCGGCCAAGCAAGTAATGGCTCCATTTTTGGACCGCAAGGACTAATGCCAACAGCTCCCTGTCGTAAGCCGATTTAAAGCGGTTAGATGGGGAGAATCCTTTACTGAAATAAGCCATGGGATGGTCCTCTTGTGATAGTATCACCCCGACCCCATCTGATGATGCATCACACTCTATAACAAAAGGGTTAGAGAAATCTGGTAACCTCAAAACAGGTGTAGTCAGCAACGCCAGGTCATTAAAGACCTTAAGGGCTGCCTCGAACCAAAGAAACACATCCTTCTTGGTCAATGCAGTATGTGGTCGGGCTATAATTCCATAATTTCGGACAAAACGCCTATAATAGCCAGTTAACCCAAGGAAACCTCTCACCTCTTTTACTGTTGATGGAAGGGGCCACGACTTTACTGCTGAAATCTTTTCTTCCTCCACACTAACTCCTTCCGAGCTGATTACATGTCCCAGAAACACAACTTGTCCTTGCCCAAAACAACACTTAGATAATTTGGCAAAGAATCGGTTGTCATGCAGTAATTTCAAGATCTGTTCTAGGTGAGACTTGTGTTGTAGATTAAAATGTCATCAACGAACACAAGTATAAAACGTCGTAAATAAGGACGAAATAAATCGTTCATAATAGCCTGAAACGTGGAAGGAGCATTGGTTAAGCCGAAAGGCATAACCTTAAACTCGTAATGACCCGAATGGGTACGAAAAGCCGTCTTTTCAATATCCGGCGCTATTACTCGGATTTGATGATAACCCGATCGTAAATCGAGTTTTGAGAATACCGTAGCTCCATATAATTCATCAAGTAACTCGTCAATGTTAGGTATCGGGTATTTATCAGCTATACTTATCTTGTTAAGAGCCCGATAATCAACACACATTCGCCACGTATTGTCCTTCTTCACTAGTAAAACCGGACTTGAGAAAGGACTTGTGCTCGGTTGTATAAAACCAGCTGCCATCAATTGTTTCACCTGTTTTTCTATCTTAGCTTTTTGGGAGTGAGGGTAACGGTAAGGGCGAATATTGGGTGGGGTTGAGTTTGGCAAGAGCGGGATTGAATGATCTTGTGATCTAACGGGGGTAAGTCTTGGGGTTCTTCAAAAACAGCCATGTATTGTGTAACAATAGGCTGAAGTGGGGTTGGTATGCATGGCGGAATTTCTGGATCAATGGCCAAGTGTTGAAAACTAGATGATTTTTGAGGCCTTGATGCAACACCTTGTAACTTGTATTGTTTCCCATCGATTTTAAAGATCATGAACATCTTTTTCCAGTTAGCTTGGACCGTATTTAGTGTGGTTAACCATTGGATACCCAATACTAAATCAGCCCCACCAAGAGAAAAGGGATGAAAGTCTTGAGTGATCTGAAGCTCATTGACCTGTATAGAAAGATTTTTGCAAATGTGGTTGCACCGAATTACATCCCCATTACCGATTTGGACACCAAACTGTGCCACTGGTTCAGAGGTTAGTTTGAGTTTGTTGACCAAAACATCTGAAATGAAATTATGTGTAGAGCCACCATCAATTAAGATTAGAACTTTGGTAGAATGAAGATTACCTCGGACCTTGTTAGACTAAGTCAACTAGTCTAGTTTATATTATTAATATTGTCTAGGGTCCAAAGTGTAATTAGTTTTACCTATATAAGGTGTATCAGATTATTATTATTTTTCAATCAAGTTTAATAGACCTTCATCGTAGTAGGGTGTGGTTTCCCTAAGATAGCATGCAAACTGATTTCGGCCGCTTCTTCTTGGTCAGAATCGGGATTAGGGAGTTCTATTACATGTGATTCCTCCATATCCTCCTCTGCCTTGAACACCTTGAGGGTACCGGTTTTACATCAATGACCTGGTCCGTATTTGTCGCCGCATCTGAAGCATTCTCCTTTCAAGAATCGGTTTTTTTTTTTTTTGTGTCGGAGATCCGGGGAGTGTTTTTTGGTTGGGTTGATGTTGGAACTAGGGTGAAGGGTGTTGGTTTGGAATCTGATTGAGGATTTTTTGATCTTGAAGTCCAAGAAGTACTTTTTTCTGGCCGGTTAGAAGAGAGTTTAGATTCAAACTCCAAAGCCAGGCTCATAGCACTATACACCATACGTGGCTTGTGGATCCTTACATCAGATTTCAACTCATCTTTAAGACCATTCAAGAACACCCCTAAGAGACAATGATCAGGCCAATTTGAGACCCGAGAGGATCTCTTAGCAAACTCCTGCCAATATTCTTGAACATAACCAGTTTGTTTGATGCTACATAGGAATTCATCCGGGTTTTGGAACTCTGCCAGACCAAAATTTTTTGTAAACGATTGGGTCAATTCCTCCCAAAAAGTGATGGGTTGGTCGTTAGAGAGCCAAGAGTAAAGGTCCAAGGCATCACCCTCTAGCTGCATTGAGGCCACTTCAACCTTCTCCACATCATGTATTTGATAATACCTGAAATATTTTTCAGCTTTCATCAACCATCCGCGAGGATCTCCTCCGCTAAAAGTCGGGAATTCGATTCTGTTATAGGGCCTATATGGTTGTCGGCCCCTCCAGGAACTTTCCCCTTCATCACTCTTGCTTCCTTGGGAAAAACCTCTTACCTTTAAAGCTGCAATCTCCTCCCTTTGAGTTGTTATATCTGCTTTCAACGTATCAATTGACTCCAACTTTGCGGCAATGGCAGCTAATTGAACGGAAATTGCTTCGAGTTGGTTACTGCCATCGTTTGAGTTATTCCGGGTTTGCACCATTTCGATTTCCCAACAATGGAACCAAATGATAGATACATAATTGATGAAAATGAAAATAGGCTGAATCTTATTAGAAATAAAGGATAGTGGCCCGATTCAAGAGGGGCACGGTCTCCGATTACAAGAACAAGAAAATTAGAAGATAATTCTCGATGCCAATCATGAAAAAACTAGCCACTAATTTATACTAATCAAATACTAGAATTACGGGTAGAAATTAAGGGCAGGATTCTACAATCTAATTTCTTGGGTAATCATTAATTAAATTGATTGCATAAAATCATCTAGTGATTTGATCAAGAGGATTCAGCCGGTTTCCAAAGATAGAATACAGCTGTCCCATTTTTGCAGCTGTGACTCGATCTTTCCTTCTTGAGTACACTTTCAATGGTGGATCTTTATCAGTTTGGTACTCTAGTCGGAATTTAAGTTGGAAGCAAGACTCATCGCCATGACTTTCACTAACATCACATTACTAACCCAATTACCCAAAGTTGGTCCATATAACTTGAAGAAAATGTCCCATTGAATTTGCACAAGATTTGGAAAACAAATCATGGGTCTTTTAATTAGATTTTGTTAATTACTTAATAATATACCTCCGTGAATATTGTTTTACATAGTTAGCTCTGATCTCATCACTGACTCCTTGAGAGAATAGGTTGTATTTTTTATCCCTTCAATATCTATTACTCTTGTCAATACTTCTTTGTGCCAATTAGACTATTCTTGACAGCAAAGCTTGTTTAACAGAGAACCAAGTCATTTACAGAACCTTTCCACTCTCATGAGCCATGGTCACTATGTACTAGACTAAACTCTGATGACAACCCAAGGAGATTACAGTAGCAGACTAAAAAAGTCATAGCAACGGACATTACGAGGTTTAGCATCTATCAATTAATTAAGCATCATTATCAAGCCTTTGTCACCTTTTTGGATCCTTAGAAGTTGCCCCACCATTCTTAACATGTAAATTCACTTCATAGATGGAGCAACAACTTTTTTATTAAAGAAACGTATCCAGTTATTCAGAAACCAGGAAGTGTTCCAAGAAAAGGCTACCTGTTCTTGATATGTGCTTGCCTCACTGAAGTTTCTTAGCTTCAATTCTATCGTTGATTGTATCCTCTCAATAATAACCTCCTGGTTCAAAAGGCTCACCTGCGTAAAATTATAAGTTGAGTTTAGATCAAAAGGAAGTACTCATTCCTTTAAGAAACTCTAAATATAGTATATGTAAGATAGTCCCTGGTACTAAACAAATAAGTAAATAAACCACAACTAGGACCTAGTTCCAATATCCATATTCTAGCACTCCTAAAGTTGAGCCCATATATAAACCATGCGTAACTTGCTACACATAACAGAAATCATAATAACCATAAAATAACAAGCTCTTATGCTTCAAATATTCAGATAACAAAGAATTAGATTGTGAAAAAGTCAGCAGAACTCTCCTTTCATCTATGACGATTAAGATGACAAATCATAAGCATGATTGCAGGCAGAATTCAACAAAAGTCAACTGAAGAACTAAATCCAAGCCAAGCCTAGATTTATCCAAAATTATCCAAGCAACATAACCCAAACCAGAAGAACAAACAAACAAAAGGAGTTGGCATAACAAACCTACCAACTCAAAACAACTAGAAGAAAGGCCTAAAAACAAATCAAGCTAAAACAGGAGTCTACCTAGCCTACCAAACTGTCAACCAACAAAACAAACAGAGAGGGTCTAAGCAGCCAAACAAAGCAAACCAAGTCACCCATCACCCATCAAGTTGGTAGGTCCTGATGATCAACATAAAGGGGCACCACAGGGCAAAAATCCTCCTCAAGGACGTGTCAATGACATGCTTGATATTCCAGCAAAGTGAGCCATAATGCACAATAACCACCAAAAGCAAGTTGAAGGCCCATTAAAACTCTAAAATATTTGTCAGACCAACTTTACAATCAATTTTAATAGTAGACAGATATTACAACTCAGCTAAATAACAAGTCCCTTAAACTGCTCAAAAATTAACAGACCATCACTATTCCCTTACAATTTTAGATAATTAAAATTATCCCTATGAACTTTCAAGAAATAAAAGAACGTGCAGTTTACTTTTTGACTTGGCAATCAGTCCCTAAATTTCATAATTTCCAGAATGACCCCTAAACTTTTGGAAATCTATAGGTTATCCATAAACTTTATGTATTCTCAAACAGACACCTAAGCATTGTGAAATTTAAAAGCACTCTGCAAAACTCCATGAGATTGAAAGCAACCCCTGCACTAGTAGAGACTTTCAGAACACATCAATTAGGCCAAAATAACATTGATTCTGGAAACTAATCTAGCTATTTATTGAACCAAAATAGCAAAATTCGACAATGGCAAGACACAACGATATCAAAGACTAGACCAGCTATACACATTGCATTAGCAAGACGAAGACAGCAGTAGCAACTCTCTTACACAACTTCACAGGACTCGATACAGTAGTGATATTAAGTTCTTGATATTTTCATGTAAACTAAGGAAAAAATATGCAAAATTCCGATATAGAGAAGTCATGGTCCTGCAGTAAGGTCGCATTTGGTACGCAGACAACACAAGACAGGACCGTACAAGCTGCCCACACCCCACCCCAAAAAAATGTCAGAACATGTAATGTGTCCTCACGATATCAACGATACCCATCAAGAACTAAAACTCACTAAATCTCAGAATATTTAACCTGCCTTGACAACATCTACAATCTCCACCGACAATCAAAGCCAAAGAGAACACTCTTCCCTTTCAGCAACCAGTTCCCTTGGAACATCCAGAATAAGCCTGAGATTAGATAAGAAATAAGGCATACCTATATAACAAGCAGGTAGCAAATAGATATTCCTAGAGAGCTTTAAGAGATCATATGGCAATCGCATAAATATCAAACCTCATAGCCACTTAGAGCATAAAAAGAATCCATACAAAGAGGATACAACTAAGTCAGTAGGCTAGCTATTGCTGAAGTCTAATAGCATGAAACAAGAGGTGTTGCTCAAAAGCCTATATTATTCCACTAACAAAGTCACAAATACACACATTATAAGCAGGCAAAGGGTTGAAACAAACAAAAACCTAATAGCAAACCTAACAAAGAATTACAAATAAATGACATAAGCATCCCTATATCTAACCCCTAGTTCTGATATCTACTTTCTAACATTATACAATTTCCAAGTAACAACAAAGAAGATATAAGTAGTCAATTGTCACACAAAAAAAAGATGTTTTCTAGCACTACTATTTCAAATCCTCAATGGAATTGTTGTATTGTGTGAAAATACCTGCTCTACAACATGCACGTTGGATGCTTGCTGCTAAGAAATTGTGCGGTGACCATTTACATCATTCTTCACAATCAAATATTCTGTGAAGAAACTAAAAACTAGAATTCTAAACCACAAGGGTGGTGCCTGATTGGTTTGAGCTTGGCTCCAAAGGTCAAAAGTACCTGGAGGTCCCAGGTTCAAATCCAAGGAGGAATAAAAATCCCCTTGTGGCCACGGAGGTTCAAATGCGGTGACTCCGGGCTATCTGCAAAGCAGGTGGTCGCCCTGGGATTAGTCGGCTAGCATAGCGGGTTGGATATCCAGGTTAATCAAAAAAAAAAAAACTAGAATTCTAGAGTCTCAATGTGTTTTCAATAAAATTAGAGGAACCTAGCCAATAGCTTCATTGCATTCGATCAGGTAGCACATGATAAACACTATAGATGCTGAAAATGCATTTAATTCTACTATCCTCCATGTACTAAGAGGCTTTTGGTCTAATGTCAACAACTCCGTGAACTAAGGTGTAGCATCTACTAAGAAGGCCAATAGATTTTATATGGCTTTGTAGATGAAAATCAAGAAACTTTCTATGTTTAGATTTTTATCTCAGTAGGTATAATCTACAAAGGTCATTTTACTTATTGAGTTCACCCACTTAAGGGTTTATCATAGGTGAAAAGTGAAAGCAAACAGGAATGTCATCTTTTACTTAAATGTGCAAGAGAAATGCAAATAATTTATTATTTTTATGTTCAAGAGAACAACCATTTATGTTATTTACTTTGGAGCATCTTAGACGTTTCCTACTCCTGCTGGAAGATGATTATGAAGAGAGAGTTGGTAAAAAAGAAGGCGAAGAATTTATGCATTCAACCTTTATGCATCGGTTAGCTATACGCTTTAATATAGTAAAAACAAATAAAGAATTTTAAAAATGCTGATGATAAATCACAAAGTTAACGAGAAATCATGCCAGAAACATCACTACCTCTCTTTTTGTGGGATGAACATTGACATCAACATGCTCCGGAGGCAAGATAACTGACATGTATATGAAAGGTTTTGATGCTTTGGGCAAAGTTGCAGCATAGATAATTTCGATTGCCCTCTTCAGAGCAGTACACTCAACTAATCTTTCTGTAACAATGTGAGGAGAAAAGAAAGTTATGTTAAAACAAGTATCAACACATTCATACGAATGTCGAAAATTAGCATAAGCCAGTGTTCAAAAGTGCCTGGAGGTCCCAAGTTCAAATCCAAGGAGAACAAAAAATCCCCTTGTGGCCACAGAGGTTCAAATGCGGTGACTCCGGGCTACCCGCAAAACAGGTGGTTGCCCTGGGATTAGTCAGCTCGCATAGCGGGTTGGATATCCAGGTTAATCAAAAAAAATCAGCAGAAGCCAGAGTTCAAATGTTCAGTGACGTAAATCATCAGTTGCTACACACATGAAAGAAGAAATGCTAGAGCATATTTTCTTTTCCTTTGTTCCTATATCTTACATTTGTGTGGTTTCTCAGATACAGAGTGGATTATTTAATAATTGGTGCTTTGCCTTCCATGGTCGTATGTTGCAGCAGAAAACCAATGTTCCATCTTTCATTACACATAAATTGATGATTAGGGAGTCATTATTAAAATGGGTTATGATGTTTTAGGTTCATCCAGAGAAGTCAAAAAGTAATCTATAATTTTGTTATGCAATTATATTAAGCTATATATATCTTTCATCTTACAACTAAACCTGAAGTGAGGTGCACTAGCTTTTAGATTTAAATTTATCTCTATGAGGCACACGTTTTCACAAAAAGAATGTTGTTTTAATATCCCAACTCTATCAACCATAAAATATTGCAAGGGGCATACCCAAACATCATCTGATTAGAAGATCAACTAATATCGCGCAATCAAAGTCTACCCCAAGCTGAAAAGGCACACAATTTTAGGAATGTGTAATTATTACAATTCTTAATTTACTAAATTTTACCCTTAATAATTGGAGTAATGAATTTCTCCATCTCATAATTAACTGTACAATTGGAAAGTAGGCACTTACTTTTGATAGTGAATACTTTGGAACAAACTAAAATAGAAATGGACACTAATTTTGGGACGCAGGGAGTATAGAACTTAAAATGTATTTTCCATTATTGCCTTTCTAATTTTGCAAATGATGAATTTTCACCCAGATCACACATTCCTCACCTAGTTATTTCTCTCCTCATACAGTGAATCCTAGCACCCCCAGATCATTGAATAAGGGAATTCTGAAAGGGGGAAGTACCCCCAACTTCCAACCTCCAGCAATTCCAACAATAGTTATTACAGTGAAGCAAGTAAAAGATAAGAGTAAAAAGGAGAAACAATTTGACTTTGAAAAATCGATTAGTTAAATTGCTATCAACTGTAAACTTACTGGGACCATAGTTGTTAAAAGCTCAAGGTGCACTTAAGCGCAAAAGCGTCCCGGGGCCTAGGTGCGGGCCTCAGGAATGCTAGATGCATCTTATCAATACACACACACACACACACATAGTTACACACAACTCAAACATGCAGTAAATACAAGCCTCCAATGCAGCAACCAACAGTACTTTGATAGAGGCAGAAGGGTTTAAAGCGTGAGCTATGAAGGAGAAGTTTTAAGGTTTGGGTATTTATAGAGAAGGAGGCTTGAAGTTCTAAGGACTGGAGCTTTTTAATATTAGGGCTTGACTTATGTTATCTATTTAGTAACACTCTTTTTAAGAAGTCTAGGGGATGAGAAGATGAGAAAACTTATTTGATCTTAGGGTTTAACTAGGTGTTTAGTAACTCTCTATGAGGCACACCTAGGATCACAAGGCGCAGCGCCTTAGCGAGCCTCTTGAATACGCCGAGCCTCAACTTGAAAAAAGCCTAAGACCTTAAGGCTTAGGAGCATCAGAGCCTCAGAGCCTAGGCGAGCCAAGGCGCACCTCAGGCGCGCTTTTAACAACTATGACTGAGACAGGGAAAAAAACTAGATAACTACATTATCTTTTTCAGCAAGCACCACAATTTGAGAAATGATGGTACAAAATAAGTAACAATATCTACATCAAGCTTGTACAAGAAAAGTGAAAATTTAGCTTTTTAGTTTTTTATACTATTTTATTAGGAGAAAGAACAAGGACAAAAAAATCATTGTAGTTTAGAATCTTTTTGGTAAAAGGGACGTAATGCATTTTTGGCATAAGACATCCTATTCTGGAAGTTGTTGAACTTATTACGAGATGGAGTATTCTTTAGCATTCCGGTCACCAGTACCAATGCTGGAATTTTCCAATAGAACATCAAAAGGTGGAAATTAGCTTTTATTTACCATTATTATTAGCAGAAAGAACAAGAACAAAGAGATCACTGTAGTTTAGAATCTTTTTGGTGGTACCGTGGTAGGGAAGTAACACATTTAGCAAAAGACATCCTATCATGGAAGTTGTTGCACTTGTTACAAAATAGAGAGTATTATTTAGGCATTATGGTCGTCCAGTGTCAATGGGAGAATTTTCCAGTCAAACGTGAGTAAAATGTAATATCCTCTGTGACATGGGAAGAGAAGGCGTGAGCCAGTGATGACGGATGCAAATCTCCTCTATGTAAAGATATTTTTATTATGAATAATTACATTAGTTCTCCCTAATTTCTACAATAAACTTCGATAAAAAAAATAGTTACACCTATCAAGAGCCTGTGAAGAACCAGCACTAGGATTTGCACTTTGGGGTCTAGGAAATGTGGAGTGCAGAAGCTTATCTTGACAAAGGAGGAACCTACACGAGCTTAAATTTTGGACCCAATACACCATAGATCTTCTATTTAAGGATCAAGATGCATATAACTGTATACACTTCTTGAAACATTGTAACAGAAATAATTCTAGACTGCTTATTTGTGGTCAAAATCTAATTTCATATAGAAGCAAATTCCAGGTAAGAACAGCCAATAATTCGGAAAATAAGGAGTCACTGAATAACTTCACCAAAGAAAAACACTGCCAACAAAGAGACCAAAATGTCCTCGGTATCGATAGGCTTGAGAAGCCAATAAGTAGAGACAACTGCACACATAAAGATTATTAGGCTAATCAACTTGGAGTTCATTAATAGCCCACCACAAAACCACACACTGACACCGGCAAAAGAGCCATGTGAATAGTTAGAGTTAAACAACATAAAATGTTTTGCTATGACAGTTTAGTTTCATGTAGACTAGTGGAAACACTCATCTTACATCCATTTTTTCTTTTAATTCTATGAAATTCCATGGAAACAAACCCCTTATCAGAAACTGTTTGAAATACTACTGACAGACCAAATGAGCACTTTGGAATATTCTGAAATCAATTATTCCGTACATACCATTGATAAAGAGAACCATGGTAGTCTTCTTTGAAGAGTAATTAGGGTCAGATATATGGCCATCCATTTCAAATACTGAACTAGATGGATTAGCATCTGAAGCCTCTATTTTTATCAGATTGTTAGCAACTGAGGCCCCATAAACAGATCTGATTGCATCAAGCCTTGAGGACATAGCAACTGAGTGAACATCAGCGCCAGCAGCACCATGCTAAAAATCAGATAGTGAAAACGTTGAAGATATTAAAAATAATTATAAAATACGCCTCCCATGAAGAAACACTGGAAATTATGGAGAGCATAAATAATTACTTGGTTCTAAAACAGGCAAAATTACTTCATGTACTCACCTTTCTGCAGGAGAAGCTCACGTTTTTGTGATGGATTGCAAACCGACTTAACAGGTCAACAATTTTTGGATAATCGTCGGCAGAGTTCTGAAGAGTTTTCCTTCGTGCAATCATGTTATAAAATAAATTCTCAATCTGGTTGAAACACACACATCATCTAATCAACATGGAAACTTTTATACAGATTCAGAATCTCAGTATTTGCAGAACAAAATGAACTTTGAAACCTTTTATTTACTACTATACATTTTGGTTTTCTAGAATCATTGGTGGTATGACATTAACATGAGTCGCTATGATGAACTATTATCTCATGCCAACAAATAGTTTCCCGTCTTCTTAGCATCATAAAAAATACTTTCTCCAAGATATATCTTATCCACGCATGATGCATAATATCATGCTCCATTCCATACACACAAAAAATGAAGATCAAGTATAACTTCCCTTGACCATCATACATCTATGTGAGAGAACAAAAAGAAAAAGAAAACTTTACCTGAATCCTATCTAACATGTCATGAAGTTAACAATTTGCATTATTAGAACCAATTTGTTTGATGAAAGAATGAACTCTCACCGCTACTCGAGTCCCTTTCACAGCAGCAATCGCCTGGGGTTCATGCCCCATCACCCCATCTCTGTATGATACCCTAATATACAGAAACCATAACGTAATCAATCCAAGGTAAACCCATGAATTTCATGGAACAATTTAAAATAAGAACATACTTATAACCATGCAATTGACCACTGGTTATAGTGATGACAGTAACATGAGCAACGTAGGTCATGCTTGCCAGGGCTTCTCCTCTAAACCCCATCGACTTAATTGACTGTAAATCTTCGAATGCAGACAACTTTGATGTAGTATGCCTCTCACATAAAATTGGCAAGTCCTCACGCTGAAACAACAATTAACCTCTATGTGAAAAGCTCAAACTACTTTCCAAAAAAATCCCAAATTTCTGACAATAATTGCAACCATCGTCCCAACGGATGTCCATGTTTGGCTTCCGAAAACTTCAAACTTGACGAGAAGTGGAGTAAAATATATATAGAAGTAACAAACTTCAGATTTGTCAAAATGAAACGTGTATGTGGACTTTTTGGGGAGGGAGTATTTTAAACAAAAACATAGTACTATAACGTCATGAGAAAGGGTTTTACGCGGATTCCATGGCCGTTATCAGAGACTTGGATGAGTTTGAGGCCTCCGTCCTTAACCACTACATTTATAGAGGTGGAGCCGGCATCAAGGCTGTTCTCAACGAGCTCCTTGACAGCGGATACCGGGCGCTGGATGACCTCACCGGCGGCAATTCGGTTGACGACGGACTCGTCAAGGCGATGGATCCTCGGAGGATCTCGTGATGCGAGAGCATGTACTGCATCTGTTTCCATTGGCGGTGGCGGTGGCGGTGGCGGTGGCGGTGGCGGTGTTTCGTATTCCATGCCTGAAGTCGCCCAATATTCAGGTGTCTCGCTATGAGGACTTTTTTACAGTAGAACGCACCATATTTCGCGCCAAAGAGAAAACATATTCAGATCAATGTTCTTAATGATATTTTGCAATATAAATCCCTGATTAAAATTGCTTGTTAGTGGAAAGATAAATTATCTCAGATTATAAATATAGCTTATTTTTAATATCTATACTATATTATAAAGTATTTGATAAAAACTTTTAAAAATCATTTTTTATACATGAAGTTTGTTTATTGATGCATATTACTTAAAATTCAATATTACAAGTAAATAGAGCATAAGTACAACTTATTAAAGCTTCATATTTGAATTCGTGTAACTAACTGCAGATAAATATAATCAAATAGAGATAAACATCTCATTTTAAATATAAAAAATATAAAATATAATTAGGATAATTATTGAGTTCTAACAAAATACTTAATTATTATCTTTATAAAAAATTATATTATTAAACCAAAAATATAAAAATGAATTAAAGAAATTTTAAATAGTTAGTTTGTACTAATATCAATATTTTTTCATTCTTTTATGATATCTTCATATTTATATTTTATTCAAAAATATAAATGTTATCGCTTTCTTAAAACCACGTAAGACCATATTAAAACACCGACTAAGACAAAAATAAATAAAACGAAACATTAAAATCGATGTGTACCTCGCTGCATTGTGCGGGTACCCTTCTAATACATTTAAATATAGATAATTTAACTTATTTAAATAATAGTTGGAGTAGTTTATAAGAAGTTTTTTATCACTTTTTCTAATTCTAATCCTTATTAATATTAATTATAAATAAATATTAGTTATTAATAAAGAAATCTAAAAATTAATTACTACTAACATTAATAAATATTAGAGTAGATTACATTTTTGGTCCATGTAGTCGTCACATACTAGCAGCTCTCGTCCCTTTTTTTTGAAATAGTTACACTTTTGGTTACTGAGGTTGCCATTCTATTTTACTTTTTTTCTTCCCTACCAAAAACCTTTTCCGGCGTCCACACCCTTCGGCTTCCCACTCCCTCCACCGTCCTTCCCCTCCGGTGCGACCTTGCTTTTCTAAGAACATTGAATGTTTGTGCATGAACATTGAAGTTGTGAGCTCCATCTTTTTCTCTCTCCATCGAAGAACACCTCAACTGGGTTTCGTCTTTTTATTAGATCTTGGGTTTGATTTTTTTATTTAGTTTTTTATTGAGGTTTCTATTTGAGTTTTGGTTTTGGAAACTATGTTTGTTTTGAATCTGGGTTTGTGATTCGAAGTTCAATGCATTGAAGAAAGACTATAAAGTCGTGTTCTTGACATTTCTAGTTCGAGATCCGAACTCGATGCAACCTTCTACTAGTACTTAGCGTATACTGTAAACATCATGTCTTGTCTTTTCCCTATGAAAATGTCAAATGCAATGTTTCTGGTTTGGGGTCCAAACTCGACGCCCTGTGCATGGAGGACCTCCTTAGCAAGATCCAGGGATGATACAATTTTGGGTTGGTTTTAGATTTGTGTTTTAATTTTGGAATTTGGGCTTTGATTTTTTATTAAAGTTTTTTATTTTAGATATAAGGTTTTTTTATTGGAATTTGAGTTTTTGATTTTTAGATTTGAGTTTTTGGTTTTGTCAAATTAGGCGTTTGAGTTTTCGATTTAGCTAGATTTGGGATTGCTTTAGGACTTTAGTTGGTCATCTTCACCCGAGAAGACCGAGTCTTTGCCCGAGAAGATGGCCGAAGTTCTTCGCCTGAAAAGATGATCGGAGTCTTCTTCGGAGTTCGGACTGTAGGGTATCGAGGGGTGGGGATTGGGATGCATCGGTTGTACCATAGTACGTATGTTTTAACATTTATTTAAGAAATGGAAAAGAAAAAGATAAAAAGAAATCTTATAAAACAAAAAACATAAAAAAGAGTAAAAAGACCTATACGCCCTCAACTTAACTGAGTTTTTTTAAAAGAGCTAGTGAGATGGACCAAATCCAAAACAAAATGAAAATGAGAGGGATCAATCTTGAAATGATGTGGTAATCATAATGACCAAAACTGTAATTTGTTAAAAGAGGGACGTGAGTTAGTGGTCGGTGACAACCATAGAGGCAAAAGTGTAATTTACTCTAAATATTAATTAATAGTAAATAACATTAACAAAAAAATTATTAATTAATTTTGATTATACATTAATGTTAATTACTAATTATTTAGAATTTGTTATACAATAAGTAAAAGGAGTTTTTTGCTAGGTATTTGACCAAATAAGATCCCAATGAATAATCTATAATAATTCGTAAATCTAGAATTATCCCTTAGCAGGCTTGGGACTAAAAGAATGGTATCTGGCATTGGGTGTATTGGGATTTAGAAATATTTTAGTATCCTTATGCATGAAGATAATCAATTCGGTCGTAAAAAAGCCAAAAATAAGTGATTTTAGCCCTAGATAAATAAACACATCCCATTGCACTGATCGGGGGCGTTCGTAGTGACTGAGGGGGTCGAAGACCAAGAAGTGAGTTATTTATACCAAGCATTCTTCTTACGGCTAGATCCAATCTCCTGTCCCTGCGGAAAGGAAAAAGAAGTTCACGCTCTTCCTAAGGGTGTTATCGTCTAAAAGCTATGACAATAGACATGGAGATGGAGAGTCAGGGCTGTTTACCAAACACTTACCCGGTAAATGCTTACCGGTAAATTTAACACTATCATTTACTTAACGGATAAGATTTTAGTCCACCAAAACGGTATCATATGCAACAATTTACCGGTAAACGCTTACCATGGTAAGAGTCGTCGCCTTCACTTACCGGGTAAGACTATTGGTCATTGTCTTGGTCTTACATCGGTAAGATTCTTGATCCTTACCATATTCATCCGGTAAGGTAAAATGACTTTGTGTTCACTTACTCGAGTAAGCGTTTGGTAAACGACCCCTTAGATTATAAGTGAAATATCTCGTAGTTATCTACTTGTAACTCATCCATATTAAAAAAAAACTTATGATTAATGAGAATACATATTCCTTCACTCTATTTTATTATTGTTCTTTTTCAGTTATTCTATAACAGATTATCAACACGTAAGCTTAAAAATTCGTTGTCATTGACCATCTTCGTAAAAAAAGTTATTTAGTTTGTTGCCCCGACACTAATGAAGGGTTTACATCCCTTTGCATATAACATGTATTTCATATAAAAGAAATACAATTTACATCACAAAGGTCTCACTAGTACAAGAAACTTATATACAAAAATTTTACAACTCAAAAATTCCAAAAGAATGTTCCTGTACTATCACATGTATAACAACATGTATCTTCAAAATACATCAATCAACATATTGATCTTCAAAACAACAAATAAGCACATTAGAAAAATAATTACATTTTCCCATTCCCCTTACTACTCTGGACCCAGCTGAACCTGCAATGCATATTTTAGAACATAAAATGAGGGTTAGATCAGGAAGTCTATTGAGATAACCCTTGTTTTGCAATTACAAGGTGGATATCACCAAAACCTTTTTAAAGTTCACACTTGAATATCCAACCACTTTAAATCAAATATAACTTCAGTAAAACAAAACTGCAAGTTATAAAACGATCTTACCACATAAAAGATTAACCACTCAAGTTCTCATAAACATCTGAAATACAACTCTTAAGCTCACAAGTCACAACTGATCAGAGCTTATGGTCTCAACCTCCACGATCATAATAAAGAGTACCAAGAATAACAATCACTGGAGTTCTTGGTTATTATTAAAAAACTTTTAGGATATAACCAGATTTATATATAAATGAAGATTGATTAAATAATAACCAACGACTCTCCGGGTTTTATTTCAAGTCACAACTCTTTGGAATATTCAAAACATGATATCTCAAAATCATTTGAGAACTCATGCAATTAATGCCTCCGGCTATAAGCCATTTTAACCTGCTCAATGACATTGTTGTTATCGTTTCAATAAGAGCAATATTCCCAAGTTTTCACGTCACAAAGAAATGTTGACTCAGAATTATCGCATCTTACAGATGTGACAACAAGAGCTATAAGAGTAACCACACACAAATACCACCCTTATCCAAATGTACACCTCTCCTTGATATGTCATCTTTGTTTCCACCTCAAATATACAGATAAATCTGTAGTTTTAGCCAATAATGGCTTCAAAATAGTTTCATATCAGAAACTTTATCTCAAGAACTTCTCAAGTTCTTAAATTCACTTTTCAATCTCAATTCCGTATTTCCTTCAAAACAGACTTTACGTCACAACCATTTTGAGAAAAGATAACAATATCTTTCCTTAATTTATAAACCTCATTTGAAAGATACAAAAATACTCTTTATCAATATAAAAACAGTTTAAAACTGTTAAACAACATTTGTGAAAACCACTGTTTTTATTTCACAAGTTTTTGGGCGATAACTGCCCCTCATCGTCCAATACTATGGCCGATGACCCCTTCCTCATCGGACAACACACTTAATCCGAGCAACACATTTAAAAGGTAACCATGCTCACCAGTCACACTCTGTTCGGATACATTCTCATCGGACAACACTATGTATGGTATCTAACTTTACCGATCAACACTTTGCAACATAATTATTTGTTAGGACTGAAATTAGGTATTAAATTGTATTCATCTTGAAAGATAAAATTGTCTATAATTGTATAAAAGTTATCGTGTTTGACTTTTCATAGAATAGTTTGACTTTGACTTTGTCTATTTGTTTGACCCTATATAAAGGGTATTTCCTTTGTAATTGTTGTGGGATGCTTATTGTAATATCAGATTTACGTAATAAAGGTTTGACCAAGATTTGGGTGTTGACCTTTTCTCTCTACTCTCTTAAGTGTTCTTACAAGATTTATATAGATCTGCCATCGTTGAATTGGAGCTTTAATGAAGATTGATTA